TATCAACCCAAATCACTATGCTCAATTAATATTTGACAAAGGAGACACGAATATACAATGGAGTCAAGACAGTTTCTTCAATAAATGGTGTTGGGAAAATGGGACAGACACATGCAAAAGAATGAAACTAGATCACCAACTTACACCATACACAAAAATAAATTCAAAATGGATACAGGACTTAAACATCAGACGGGAAACCATAAAAATACTAGAAGCATCCACAGGCAGCAAAATCTCAGACATATGCCAAAAGAACTTATTCACTGATACTGCCCCTAGGGCAATGGAAGCTAAAGAGAAAATAAACAAATGGGACTACATCAAAATAAAAAGCTTTTTTACAGCAAAAGAAACCATCAACAAAACAACAAGAAAGCCCACGGTGTGGGAGAACATATTTGCAAATAATACCACTGATAAAGGTTTAATCTCCAACATTTACAGACAGCTTATACAACTAAATAAAAGGAAGATGAATAATCCAATTAAAAAATGGGCAATGGACCAAAATAGAATATTTTCAAAAGAAGACAGAAGGAAGGCCAAAGGCACATGAAAACATGCTCAAAGTCACTAATTGTCTGAGAGATGCAAATCAAAACAACAATGCAGTACCATCTCACACCTGTCAGAATGGCCAACATCAACAAATCAACAAACGACAAGTATTGGCGAGGTTGCGGAGAAAAAGGAACCCTCGTGCACTGCTGGTGGGAATGCAGACTGGTGCAATCACTGTGGAGAACAGTGTGGAGTTTCCTCAAAAAACTGAAAATGGAACTCCCATTTGACCCAGTAATCCCACTTCTAGGAATATATCCCAAGAAACTAGAAACACCAATCAGAAAGGATATTTGCACCCCTATGTTCATAGCAGCACAATCTACAATAGCCAGAATTTGGAAACAACCTAGGTGCCCGTCAGCAGATGATTGGATCCAAAAACCATGGTACATCTACACAATGGAATACTATGCTGCCATAAAAAAGGAATTCTCATCATTTGCAGCAACCTGGATGGAATTGGAGAACATCATGCTGAGTGAAATAAGCCAATCAATGAAAGAGAAACACCACATGACCTCACTCATTTATGGATAATAAAGAACATTATAAACTGGTGAACCAAAAGATAGATATAGAGACAGTAAAGCAACAAGCAGACTGTCAAATTACAGTGGGAAGGGGAGGAAAATCTGGGGGAGATAATAGACCAACCGAAGGACTTGTATACATGCATATAAGTACAACCAATGGACATAAAACTCTGGGGAGGGAGAGTATGTATGGGAGGGAGGGAGGGAGGCAAAAAAAAATCAATAAAATATATTTTAAAAAATAAAAAAGTGGAAAAGTGGGAAAAAAGGAGACACAATTCCTCTTCGTTCCTTCCTCTCCTCTTCTACTGTTCTTTAGTCAATAATGTCTTTCTCATAGTTAATCTTTGTATTTTAAAAAATGCTTATTACATTATTTGGCTGGTTGAAGAATGTTTTTTAAAATACTGACTGGTACCAGTTATTACAGGTGAAGCAATAAGTAAATTTTACCTCTCACCTACTTTCCTAATTCCTCTACCAATATTCATTAAGTACATTGTTTACAAATTGTCATGTCACATCCTTCTCAATAACTCTCATTTTAGAGTTAGTCAACAGTAAATGTATTCAAACTTTGCTGTTGATATTTTTTTTCCATAGTTTTTCCAATTACTTCTTAGTTAGCTGACATTCACCCACTGGTAGTTTCCTCAAGAAAAGAACATTCTTGGGCCTAACTTGTATGGTTCATTGAATAGAACATTGGCCTGGGGAATGAAGAGTCCCAGGTTCAATTCCAGTCAAGGGTATGTACCTTGGTTGCGAGCATATCCCCATTAGGGGGTGTGCAGGAGGCAGCTGATCGATGCTTCTCTCTCACTGATATTTCTGATTCTCTATCCCTCTCTCTTCCTCTCTGTAAAAAATCAATAAGATATATTTTTAAAGAAGAAGAACATTCTTGAGAAAGAATCAAGATGGCAGCATAGGTAAACACCTGTACTTGCTGCCTCCCACAACCATATCAAAATTACAACTAAAGCCCTGACTGGTTTGGCTCAGTGGATAGAGCATCAGCCCGCAGACTGAAGGGCCCCAGGTTCGATTACAGTCAAGGGCATGTACCTTGGTTGCAGGCACATCCCCAGTAGGGGGCATGCAAGAGGCAGCTGATAGATGTTTCTCTCTCATTGATGTTTCTGTCTATCCCTCTCACTCCCTCTCTATTAAAAAAAAAAAAAATCATTAAAAATATACTTTTTTTTTTTTAATTACAACTAAAATACAGAACAACTATGATCCAAAAATGCAGGAAAGCTGGCTGAGTGGAAAGGACAACTGGATGGTTGTCCAGAAGACATCTGCTCTAATTAGCATATTACCTTTTTATTAGTATAGATTTGTTTTCCTAACACTTGTACTTCCAACAAATTGCCAGTTCAGTCTAAAGACTTGATTAGATTCAGAGAAAGCATTTTTTTTTACTATATTTATATTGTGCATTTCATATTGCATTCCATCAAGAGGCACGTGACTTCAGGTGGTCATGCTATTGAGAATGCCAATTTTAACCACTTGCTTAGGGGGAAAACTGCCAGGTTTTGCCAATGTAAGAGTACATATCTTTCCTCTATAATTATTAACTAATCTACAAGATGACTAGTGATACTTTATCACAAGAGGAATATTCTTATCCACACTTACTTTTTACCCAAAGGTTTTAGCATCTATTTTTTTTAAATATATTTTATTGATTTTGTACAGAGAGGAAGGGAGAGAGAGAGAGAGTTAGAAACATCGGTGAGAAAGAGCCATCAATCAGCTGCCTCCTGCACACCCCCTACTAGGGATATGCCAGCAACCAAGGTACATGCCCTTGACCAAAATCAAACCCGGGTCCCTTCAGACCCCAAGCCGATACTCTGTCCATTATGCCAAACCAGTTTCAGCGGTTTTAGCATCTATTGGTGGTCCTTACCTCAATCAACTATTACCTTTAGGGTTCAAAGTGGTAATTTTTAAAATTGTGTTCTTGCATTGCTATATTGCTTTCTTCCTTCAAGGAAGTAATTACTGCATTCAAGTTCTTGTTTTTTTTAATACAGTGGCTTAATGTTTGGACAGTTTTTATTTGCTCTGTGGCAATGGTCTCCTGCTGAATAGGCATCAGTTCCTGGAAAGTTTTTTAAATATATTTTTTACAGAGAGAGTTAGAAATATCGATGAGAGAAAAATATCGATCAGCTGCCTTCTGCACACTCCCTACTGGGTATGCGCCTGCAACTAAGGAACATGCTCTTGACCAGAATCAAACCCGGGACCCTTAAGTCTGCAGGCCAACACTCCATCCACTGAGCCAAACCAGTTAGGACAATTGTTGGAAACTTTTGCTACTCTTTTCCTCTTTTACTTTAGAGTGAATTTAATTTCATGTTGTGTATTACTCATTATCAAATGGGCGGCTGGTTACCTGCACAAGACTCCTGCAGAGTGGGCCAGGGTAGCCTTCCATCAGCCAGCTCATCCACCTGATTCTTCCTGTAGGCCCAGGTGGAGGATCCTGCCACTCTTTATGTAGGATTCCCAAGGCCCCAGGGCCTTGTTGGAGTGTACTCATTTTTAGACACTTCCTCATACCAAAGTCAAAATCTGTCCTCACTTCTATCTCACAGTGGCTCACATCCCGGTCACTACCCTGCCCTCTGGAGTCCCACACAGAAAGCCTGATCTCCCGCTTCAGCAAATACAGAACTATGAGACCTCACCCAGGCCTGGTAGGTTTCAACGCAGCCGCAGCCGAGAGGCAAGTGTGTTTCTGAAGAATGGTCTCTTGTTCCCTCTAAAGGTCCTACCCTAAGGATGGGATGAGAGGAGGGAGGCTCAGAGGGCCACACATTGTGAGCCTGCCCAGGCATGCCTGTCTCCGCCTCTCTCCCTCCCTCCTTCTCTCTCTCTCTCTCTCTCTCTCTCTCTCTCTCTCTCTCTCTCTCTCTCTCTCTCTCTCTCTCTCTTTCCACCACCCCCCCCCCAGGGCTGCTGTTTGCCCAGAGCCCAGAGACACACAGGCATAGAACAAAAGTAGAGCTGTCAAGAAATTGGAAGGAAAATCAGGCGCATTCCTGCTTCTTTCTCAGAAAGTTTCCCAGCTATGGGGCTCCCCAGGCTGCTGGCCAGGGAATCTGGGCACAAACCTCCACAGCCAAAGTGCCCTCAGAGCCACCCTTCCTGAGAGCCCCTCAGCCATCCCTGCAGGCTCTTTCCAGGTGAGTGTGTTATTCCCCTGGGACCCTACCACCCAGGTTTGGGGTAGGACAAGGGTTTCCCCAGCGCAGGCGAGAAGGACACAGGCACTTCCTCTCCTGGGAAAAGAGTCGTGGACACATGGCTTCCTAGAGACCAATGACACACCCACCCCTAGCTGTCCCACAACCCCTGGGGATGTACCAACGTCCGGGAAGGAAAGATACCACTGGATTCATTTCACCAGCAAGGGTGTAGGAGCAGAGGTAACTTGCTGGGCTCAGGGAAGGCACCCTCCCAAGGCATCCAAGAACGAGCAGAGGATGAGAAGGTCTGGACTTGGACAGGTGCAGGCCCTGGACTGGGCCCCAGGAACAGAATATCTGGGGCAAATGAGAAAGAAGTCCCTGGTTCCAGAAGCAGCCAAGTGCTAAAGGAGCATCAGCGGCACCCAGAAAGATAGAGGAATTTGGGAGAGACAGGACAGGCCTGGCAGACAAGGCTCTGGGCTCTTTCCTGAGGCCACAGCCAGTTGTGTAATCCTTCTATTTGCATTCTGACCTGGACAGCCTACCAGGGTAGGACATATCAGACCCACAGCAGCTCCATTTGTCCTGACACTCGGCCCCGGGAGGTGACCGAAGGTGTCCAGCCAGGACCGAGCAGCAGAGGGAGCCAGGGCGTGCAGGTCTCCCGGCCTTCCACTGCCCCAGGAGGATGGAGACCCTCAACGTGTCGGTCCCCCTCAACTTCTCCCTGCCGCCCAACTTCGGCAAGCGCCCCACCGACCTGGCGCTGAGCATCATCCTGGTGTTCATGCTGCTCATCATGATGCTGTCGCTGGGCTGCACCATGGAGTTCAGCAAGATCAAGGCTCACTTCTGGAAGCCCAAGGGGCTGGCCATCGCCCTGGTGGCACAGTATGGCATCATGCCCCTCACCGCCTTTGCCCTGGGCAAGCTGTTCCGGTTGAACAATATTGAGGCGATAGCCATCCTGATCTGCGGCTGTTCCCCAGGGGGAAACCTGTCCAACATCTTCAGTCTGGCCATGAAAGGGGACATGAACCTCAGGTAGGCCTGGGAATGAGGCGGGAGCAGCCTGGGGACATGGGCCGCATTGGAGGTGTCACAATCGAGGGGGGAATCTGAGCTAAAGACAGGAGAGGAGTAGGTGCTGGGTGGATGACAGGGCTCGAGGTGCAGGCATTTATTGTTAAGACCTTATGCTGGGCTGGGAGCAGGACTGAGGTGTGTCTTGGTTTAAGCACCACACCAAAGGGGCCACGCTAGTCCAGTGGCATCCTGGGGACCCCCTATTCCCAGAGGCATCTCGGGGGGAGGGGGGCGCGTAAGGACTGGTTTACACCAAACAGGCCTCTGGAGAACTTCACCTGCCTACACTGGGGGTCAAGGTGTCTGCTTTGAGGCCAGAGATCTTACAGGGGGTGCAGACTGGTTCCAGACATCTCCATGGAGATCAAGATTTGGCTTGGAACCAAATAGGTACCTCCAATTCCTACAGAGCAAGCAGGGATTCCCAAAGCTCCTCCCAACTATCCAGGCAGACGGGATGTCTTCCCTTAACTTGCCCCATCCTCCCATCAGACACAGAAACACTTCCATATGAAGACACAACCAGGTAGACCCAAGAGTTTCCCAGCCCCGGCCAGGTGATGCTAGGCCTCACCCCAGCCAAACTGGTGAGGGGGTGGGGGGAAGGGGAGAGTGGGGAGTGGGACCAGCAGCATCCCCTATGCTGACCGAGGAAACACCTGCAGAAGCTCCTGCCTTTATCTACGCCTCACCCTTGAGCTGTGTCCTTTGGTTGGGTCCTCAGTAGGGATGCTTTTCTAGCAGGGAGGTCAGTGGATTCAGTCTGGTTGGGTGTCTGTCAGCACCCTGCTCTTGGCCAACGTACACTAAGGAGAGCACCCAAGGAGGAAAGTCCCTCCTGGTGAAGCCAAGTGAGGCCAGGGCATGTTTTTAAATGAAAAAAGAGAATGATACTTGGGGTTTACCAGGACCCTCCATCTGAGCAGCTCTGGAGTCTCCACCCATTGGATTCAGCCCTCGCCGAAGTAGACTATGGAAGAGAGGGGCAAGGAAGAGGCTTGACTTGTCCAGTCTCCCAGGGGAACATATCCACACTCTGAGGAAAGTCTTCCCTCTAATCTAATCCAAATCCTTCCTGCTACAAAGCAAGCCCTCGGGTTTTGGGGTTGTTGTTTTTTAATCTTAAAAAATTTTTAATTTGTATTGATTTCAAAGAAGAGAGGGAGAAAGAGAGATGGAAACATCAATAATGAGAGAGAATCATTAATCGACTGCCTTCTGCATGCCCACTACTGGGGATCAAGCCAACAACCCATGTACATGCCCTGACCTCCTGGTTCATAGGTCAATGCTCAACCAGCCAGGCAAGCCCTCCGTCTTAATTGGCTCCTGGACAAGGCTCACTGCAACCTCCGTGTCCAGTTCTGGCTGAGAAGGGATGCGGGAAGTTGGCTGTTGGGAAGGGGCCCTCTGTAGAACAGCAGAGCAGGCAGGCCAGGCTTAAGGACAATGGGGGAATGTGTCCGTGTCCGTGGCCAGATGCCGCTGCCTCTTCAGCCCAAGGGCACTGGCAAGGTCTCTTCAATGCAGCTGCATGTCTGAGGCCCTCAGCCCCCACCCACACCCAGTGGCTCAGGGATAGGACCTCGATCCTGTCCTGCTCAGCCTCCTTGTCTGGGGACCTGGAGATGGTCACTTCTACCCGGGCCCCCCAAGCGATAATGCTTTGCCTGGACAGCCACCTTCCAGCAGAGAGCCCCTTCCCATAGGCACACCTCCCATGCACGCTAAGCCACGCCTCAGGCCCCCTGGCGAAGTATGAGCTCACCCTCAGCCATCACACGTTACCAGACTGCGTATTCCAATATGAGTTCCTCCAGGACATGTAGTGTGATTATGATCATGAGACCAACAATCAGAAGAGCCTTGCACTGCGCCAAGCAGTCTACCTGCAACCCTGCAGCAGCCTGTGGGGAGGTGCCAAGATGGGGAAACTGAGCCGGGGGGGCCCCAAGCCTGTGCTTTTGCACAGACGTCTTCAGGGTCGGGCCTGGGCGGAAAGGAGCAGTGCCGGGAGGTCCCCCTGAACAGTGCAGGCGCCCTGGGTGCTCTCTGGGCGCAGGGACCCACCACCACCGCAGCTTCTGCTTTTCCAGAGAGGGTAGAAGCTCCCTTCTTTTGCGAAATCTCTACAACTCTTTAAACGTTTTTTAAAAACACCATGCAACTGCCCTAGCTGGTTTGGCTCCATGAACAGACTGAAAGGTCAAGGGTTCAATTCTGGTCAAGGTCACATATCTGAGTTGCAGGCTCAACCAGGTCAGGGCATGTGCAGGAAGCAACCAATGGATGCTTGTGTGTGTGTGTGTGTGTGTGTGTGTGTGTGTGTATGTGTGTGTGTCCTCCCTTCCACTCTCTCTAAAAATCAATGGAAAAATATTCCCGGGTGAAGATTAACAAAAACAGAAACACTGTGTAGTCAAACAGTACATGTCCGAGGCCAGATGTCCCTGAAAGGCTGCGGGGGAGAACTTCTCTGTAAGCACCAGTTCTGAGGAAGCTAAAGTTCAGAGACTTGCCCGAGGCTTCCCAGAATTTGTGGGAAAGTGGTGTCTCCTTCCTGGGACTCTGCCTCCCAGATGGAGTGAGTCTGGGGCGGCCACCATCCCATTGCAGGTGGGCAGGCACATTTGGGGAGGCCGGGCCACCAGGCAGCCACTTACACAAGCTCCCAAGAAAGCAGATAGCCCCAGGTGAGAGAAAACGTTCTCGAAGATGAAGCGAGCCCAGCTTGTCAGGGACAGAGGGTCCCAGAGGCAACTGGCCCCTCAGGTTCATCTGCTCCCTCTGACCCAACTCCCAGCAGAGACCAGAGCCACCATGACGGCGGGAGCCTAACCAGGATGAGATAGAAGCCTGGCTCCCAGTTCCCTCAGCTTCTGCCTCTATTGACAGGGGCTCTGACACAGCGTCTGGAAGCAGGCTGGTGTTATGCCCCGAGAACATAGGCAGAAGGAATAAATAAAAAACCAAACGGGCTCTTTCCCTCTGACCCCTGGCTCCCTGAGAGGCCACCAGGCCCACAAGTCACTATGGAACAGGTCCCAATCTCAGAACGCGAGCCTGGTCGAGTCAAGCTCCCCTTCACCCCCGACATCCACCCCATTCCTGTCCTTCAGGGTAAACTGGGGAGCATGACAATCGCAGATTCCAGCAAATCAGGAGGTGGGCGTCCCTGACCAGGGTCCAGCACTTACCCATGTGGAGGAGGCACCTGAAGGTGGACAGCCTGTTCCCACACCCCTGCGTGCACAAGGCACACCAAGTCCCAGAGCAAATTCCAGCGCTGCTGGCGCGCCCGGCCAAAGTAAGCATGACTTCGCCGCTCAAGGACATCCAAACAAGCCCACCAGCGTGTGGCCTTTCTCCTAAGAGGGATCAATAGCCAGCCCCGTGCGCCCGTCCCGCCCCGCTCTCCTCTCCCTGACCCCACCCCACAGGGAGTGCCTCCCGGAACTCAGCCCTATCGTGGTGTGATTTATACTGACTCTTTAGGTACCGATCCTTAAGCAAGATGCACGGCTGTGTTTGCCTGTTTTCAACGTCACGCAAACACTATCATCCTGCCCATGTCATTTGACAACCCGCTTTTTTCTGAGATAAAGGCGATGGGAATTAAATAGCTCCTTTGTGCATTGGCACGGCCGTGTAGTTTGCTTGCATTTATCTGTTCTCCTGCTGTCAGTGGACTTCACGTGTTGACTTCACGTGAACTTCACGTGTTGCTGCTGTGACCGGCCTCGTGCATGTGCCTCAGTGCTCACGTGTGAGAGGGTATATGACAGAAGCAGGCGGCGGCAGGTCGTGGGGTTCATGCATCTTCTACAAGCTGTCTCTAAAGCAGTTGCACTTTTTCCATGTCTTCCTCCGTATTTGGAATTATCGGATGTTTCCATTTTTGCCATCTGGTAAGACTAAAAGGGATCACAGTGGTTTTAAGTTTTTTTTTAATTTCAGCCCTCCCTGGTTTGGCTCAGTGGATAGAGCTTCGGCCTGTGAACTGAAAGGTCCCAGGTTCGATTCCAGTCAAGGGCATGTACATTGGTTGCGGGCACATCCCAAGTAGAAGGTGTGCAGGAGGCAGCTAATAATGTTTCTAAGTCTCTATCCTCTCCCTTCCTCTCTGTAAAAAATCAATCAAAATACATTTTTTTTTAGCCGAAACCAGTTTGGCTCAATGGATAGAGCGTCGGCTTGGGGACTGAAGGGTCCCGGGTTCGATTCCGGTCAAGGGCATGTACCTTGGTTGCGGGCATATCCCCAGTAGGGGTGTGCAAGAGGCAGCTGATCAATGACACTCTCTCATCGATATTTCTAACTCTCTATCTCTCTCCCTTCCTATCTGTACAAAAATCAATAAAATATATTTTTTTAAAAAATACATTTTTTTAAAAAAAAATTTATTTCATAGGAGGCATAGTACCTTTTCAAATATTTATTGGCCGTTTGGGTGTCCTCTTCAGGAAATATATCCTTTGCCAATTTTTTTTATGAGACTATTGTGTTTTTCCTCACTAATTTGTAGTTTGTATTGTTTGTATAAGTTGCAACAGTCTATTCACAGTTTGGCGCTTGCCTTTACACTTGGATAATAACGTCTTATAACACGGACTGCTTTCTTTAATTCAATCGGATTTGCCAATATCTTTTCTTGACAGTTTATGTTTTCTGGGTTTCTTTAGGAAGTCTTGTATTACCCTCAAGGTCATGAAGATATCCTCCTAAGTTTTTTCTGAACAGTTTTAAAGTTTAGCTTCTCACATGGAGATCTTCGGTGGACCTAAAACTTATTATGCATGCTGTGATCTGATTTTCTTTTCTATATTATAGAGAAAATTCTCAGTACCACTGAGTTAATTTTTCTCCGGTAATTTGTAATGCCATCTCTCCCACAGATGAAACTCACAAATATGCACGGGTTTGTGTCTGGAATCCCTCTTTTCTTCTATCGGTCTATGTGACTATCCTTACACAATATCACATTTTCTTAGATACAACTTTATAATAAATCTTCATTTCTGAAAGGTAAGTTTCCCCTTCCTTGTTTTGGAAAATTACACCAGCTATTCTTTTTTTAATATGTTTTTTAAATTTTTTTATTGATTAAGGTTTTATATATATGTCCTTATCCCCTCATTGCCCCCTATCCTCCCACTCATGCCCTCATCCCCGTCTTGTCTGTGTCCATTGGTTAGGCTTATATGCAGGCATACAAGTCCTTTGGTTGATCTCTCTCCCTTCCCCGCCCGCCTCTCCTACCTTCCCTCTGAGGTTTGATGGTCTGATCGTTGCTTCTCTGTCTCCGGATCTGTTTTTGTTCATCAGTTTACATTGTTCATCATATTCCACACATAAGTGAGATCATGTGATATTTATCTTTCTCTGACTGGCTTATTTCACTTAGCGTAAGGCTCTCCAGTTCCATCCATGCTGTTGCAAATGGTAAAAAATCCCTTCTTTTTTACCAAAGCGTAGTATCCATTGTGTAGGTGTAACAGCTTTTAATCCACTTCTCTGCTGATGGGTACACCAGCTGTTCTTGACCCTTTACTGTTACACTTGAATTTTAAAATTAGCTCTCAAGGCTACAAAAAAAATGTTGCTGGAATTTTTATTAAATTTGCATTAAATTTATAAATAAATTTAGAGGCCATCTTTATAATATTGAGTCTTCTCGTCCATAGAAATAGTGTAGCTCTTCTTTTACTTAGGCCTTATTTTATACCTTTCTATGAGTTTTATAATTCACCCCCTAAAGATCTTGCATCTTTTTTACTCATTTCTAAATATTTTATAGTTTTATGATTATAAATGGCACCTTTTTGAAAAATCATATGATGATTCTTTTTTCCTACTAGACCAAGACAATAGAATTTTTGTATTAATAATGTACTCAGAACTGCATGGATTCTCTTATTTACTAGTTATAATTGAAATTCACTTGGATTTCCTCTGTGGACAGTCCTATCATTGGCATATGATGAAAATTTAGTTTCTTCCTTACCCATCTCTAGACCTTTTCTATTTCTTGTTTTGCTGTGCTAGGAAAGACCCATATATAGTACAACCAAGCTGATGATACTGCTATTCATCTAATATTTCACCATTAAGTTTACTGTTTCCTGTAGGTTTTTGATTGATAACCTTTTTAAGTTCAGGAATTTCCATTCTGTTTCAAGTGTGTTAATTTTTATCATGTATGTACAGTGAATTTTGTTGAGGGACACTTTTCCGCCTATAAAATGATTATATCATTTTTTTAATATATTTTATTGATTTTTGTACAGAGAGGAAGGGAGAGAGACAGAGAGTTAGGAACATCAATGAGAGAGAGTCATCGATCAGCTGCCTCTTGCACACCCCCTACTGGGGATATGCCCGCAACCAAGGTACATGCCCTTGACCGGAATCGAACCCGGGTCCCTTCAGTCCCCAAGCCGATGCTCTATCCATTGAGCCAAACCGGTCCCGGCGATTATATCATTTTTTAATTCAATAATAGATTATCTAATGTTAAACCATTCTTTAAAAAAAAAAAAAAAAAAAAAAAAGAATAGCCGAAACCGGTTTGGCTCAATGGATAGAGCGTCGGCTTGGGGACTGGAGGACCCGGGTTCGATTCCGGTCAAGGGCATGTACCTTGGTTGTGGGCATATCCCCAGTAGGGGGTGTGCAAGAGGCAGCTGGTCGATGACTCTCTCTCATCGATGTTTCTAACTCTATCTCTCTCCCTTCCTCTCTGTACAAAATCAAATAAAATATATTTTAATAAATAAATAAATAAATAAATAAATAAATAAATAAATAAGAATAGTTTGTTGGGGCTTTTTAGAGACAGAGAAAGGGGAAAGGGAAGGAACATCGATATGAGAGCTTAACCTCCATCGGCTGCCTCCTGCATGCCCCCCCACTGGAGATCAAACATGCAGTCCAGGATGTCCCTGACGAGCATCAAACCCGCCACCCTTCCAGGTACGGTACAGGCTCTAACCAACTGAGCCACACCAGCCAAAACCAAGGTGCTAATTTTGATAAAGTCACATTTATATTTTTTTCTTTGGTTGTTTGTGCTTTCGGTATCATATCTAAGAAACCATTGCCTAATCCAAGATCACCTCCCCTTGTTTTTAATATTGCATTATATTATTATTCTGTCCCGAATATTACCTTTTTTTCATTATTTCATATTTGACCCATGAGATAATGAGATGTTTTGTTTCTTTCAGTTTCCTCTTCAGAAGCCTAAGATATCAATTCTGGTCCCTCCCTTGGGCATTAAAACTTAAACTTCCAGATTATCACAACACTTGACCCTGGCTTCATTTCAGTCAACATTGTTCCATTAAAACACTGATGAGATGTTGTGGGAACTTAACTTGTTTGTATCGGTCCCTGGTAAAATTGCCTTAGCATGTGCCTCACCTTGCTTAAAATTGCAGGGCCTTTCAATAACTAAATGAAGGCACTTTATTTGGCATTCTTTGTTTGTGATTCCTGAAAACCTCCCTTACTTTCTTAAAGCTCACGCCTGTGCTGACGTTCTTAAGGAAGGGTTTTCCCGTTATTCAGTCCACAGGATTCTTTAGGGTCCCTGCTCACCTCTGACAGCTTCCTGTCCTGTGGTGCCTCCCCCTGCTGCTGTTCTTGATGGCTGCCCTCTGGCCCCTTTGGACGAGGCTGTAATTGATGTAGCCATAGTTCACCTGTATGGGCACAATGAGGATGAGGATGGGGCTGTGGAGAGGAGGGATACACCTTACTGTGTTTTTCCTGAGGTCTTGCCAATCTTCTCCTCCCCCGCCCCACACGCCCCCAACCTTCCCACTAGAATGGAAGCCAAAGCCACATATATAAGGTCAGAATCCCCAAGTCCAAGACTGCTTCCTGCCAGCTTCATGCTCTCAGCTGGTCTTGCTGGAAGGCCTGTGCCTGCACAGGGTCCTAGGGCTCACATGTATTGCATTCCAAATGGAAATGGTAATAGGACAATTAGGATACAAATTGGAGCTGGGAGGATGTATTATTCAGGCTCTAAGACTCACACTCAAGTTATCTTAAATAATGTAAGGATAAAACAAGGAGCAAATAACGTGAAAACTATCAGTGTTGGGGACTAGACCTGCAGTCAAGATGCAAAGCAGATAATATGAACAATAAAGATTTATTTAAAAAAATAAATAAATAAAATCTTTAAAAAAAAAAAAAAAAAGATGCAAAGCAGGTGTGATGGCCAGGCTCTCCGGTCACTCACTCGGCAATGGGTAACTAACTGCTGCTGCCTTCTTATCGCTCCACATAGGCCCTCCAATTATTCTGTTTCTACGGCTTTGCTGCTATTTCTCACGGTCCCTCCATTCATGGCCTCTGTTCACTTTTTCTTTGCATGTTTCTGGCTTCTGCCTGACCATCCCTCCAATGTCACCTCCTCTCCAAGACCCAGAGTTCTATCACTGTGTCTCATATTCAGAATCTCCAAGGGAGAAAATGTTCTTGATGTAGTTAATCCTATTATCCCAGTTGGACACAGCCATTGTGTCTAGACCTCCCTAGGCTCTGAGACAGACGTGACTGTGGGCCATTCTGTGATCCAATGGGATATGGTCAGCGTGATGAAGTCATGCGGTTAACTTTCTTCTGAATGGGCTGTGCATAGGGCAAGTGTTCAGAGCAAAAAGTGTTGTTACAAAGGAGATCAGAACGCTCCTTCCACAATGAAGCACAAAGGGAGGGAAGCGGCTGGACAGACCTGGGTACAATCCTGCCTCAGCCTTTGCCACCAACGTGATCCTGGACAAGCCGCCTCTCCTCTGGTCCCCAGCTTCCCCCTCGGCGACAGGGAGATGGCATGCTTACCCCTCAGGCTAGCGGGGACAGGAAAGGAAGCAGGGTGTGTCTGGGACGTCGGCACTCACCCGAAGAGTCTGTGTTGATGAGCTTTCTCTCTGCACTCTTCCTGTCTCCCACCCAGCATCGTGATGACCACCTGCTCCACCTTCATTGCCCTGGGCATGATGCCCCTCCTTCTGTACGTGTACTCCAGGGGGATCTACGACGGAGACCTGAAGGACAAGGTGCCCTATGGAGGCATTGTGCTGTCGCTGATCATGATTCTCATTCCTTGCACCATAGGGATCTTCATCAACGCCAAAAGGCCACAATACGTACGCTATGTCACCAAGGTAAGATCCTAGGGTCAGGGCAGGAAGCAAGAACGCCGCTATCCTCTCAGGGTATGGCTTGAGGCAAGTCATTTGGGCTTTTTCTGTGTTGGTTTTGTTCCTTGCTTTTATTTTTTTTATTTTTTTTTTGGGGGGGGGGGGGAGGGGTGTTGGGGAAGTGTTTTTTTTAATTTGGACACCTACTCCATGGAATTATCATGTCCCCTGAGAATACTTTCAAAAAGTTAGGAAGAAACTTTTAGTGTGTGTGTGTGTTTCTTTTTCTTCCTAATCTTTTTAAAGTATTCTCAGGGGACATGATACTCGTTACTAGAATACTCATTACTAGAGGACCAGTGCATGAAATTGTGCACGGGTAGGGTCCCTAGGCCTAGCCTGCGATCAGGGCCATCTTCCACCCGTTCACCAGTCCCCAGTCCCACCCCGCTGCTGCCGACATCAACCCTGGTTCCCTGTTCAGCATCTGGTGATCTATCAGAGCTTGCGGGCCAGGAGGAGGGACCAAGAGGTCAGCTGTTCCACCTGCTCACCAGTCTCCAGTCCCGCCCCACCACTGCCACCCACCCCAGTTCCCCATGATTCCCTGTTCTACATCCAGCAATCGGAGCCTGTGGGCTGGGGGGAGGGACCGAAAGGTGGTCAACGCACCTCATAGCAACTCGTGATCGGTCGATCTGGTCATTATGCTGGTATGGTCGCTGGCCTTTTATTATATAGTATTTTAATAATAAAATTAAATTTTTATTAGGCACCTACTAATGCTAATTTTCCTCCTACACTGTCCGAGGATTCACTGTTCTCAAAGAGTTTATTGCAGAAAGTAAAATAGCACATGAGAAACAAGACCCAACGTAGTGCACAATGAAGCACTGGCAGAGTGCAAGGAGGTGAGGTTAGTGAGGGCTGGGTAGTCACGGAAGGCCTCCTGGAGGGGAGTCTTGAGCCAGAATGTGAAGAAAGGATGGGACTTGGGTAAGCCTGAGACAAGCCCAAACATAGGAGTTCAGAGGGAACCAAGGGCAAACTTGGCTGACTGGTCAAGAAGACAGAGGGGTAGATCCCAGAGAAGAGGTGTGTGCACACTTCCAGCCATTTCAGGAGCAGAATGGGAGGAGACTGGAGTGAGTAAGACCCCAGAGGGTCTGGGGTAGCACTGTGGTCACAGACAGGGCATCATGCCACTGCCCTGTCCTTGGAAGAATTAGACTCGTGGAGGGCTACCAGGGTCCCTCTCCCAACTTTCGTGACCTCAGAGCTCAGTCTCTGTCAGTCTCCACTCAGGCTCACTGCTCATCACTTGTAAGGACTCTGCCTCCAACATTCTGAGCCTGTTTCTGTCCTGCCCCTGTTTCTGTGCCCTCGGGCCAGCCTACACAGTATGCTACCTGGAAGCCAAGGCTTAGCGGCTGCTTGAGCCCTGAGACAAAAGAACTGTAATTCAGCCCTGGCTGGTTGGGTTCAGTGGATAGAACAACAGCCTGTGGACTGAAAGGTCCCAGGTTTGATCCCAATCAAGGACACATGCCTTGGTTGTGGGTTCAATCCCCAATAAGGGGTGTGCAGGAGGCAGCTGATCAATGATTCTCTCTCATCTTTGATGTCTCTCTCTCTCTCCCCCTTCCTTTCTGAAATCAATATAATTTTTTTGTTGTTGTTAAGGCTGCAATTCAGGTTTTCAGGGTTATTTGATTCTCACACTATTATTGTCAAGAGTAGTTTTGCCATGTCCTGACCCAGTACTGATACTGTGCCACAGCTCCCTTCTTGCCTGTTGAAAGACATGGATGCACCCTAGTCAGTTTGGCTCAGTGGATAGAGCATCAGCCTGCAGACTGAAGGGCCCCAGGTTAGATTCTGGTCAAGGGTACATGCTTGGATTGCAGGCTCAATTCCCAGTAGGGGGCACGCAGGAGCAACCTATCAATGATTCCCTCTCATCATTGATGTTTCTATCTCTCCTCCCTTTCTCTCTGAAATCAATAAAAAAATATTTTTTTAAAAGACATGGATGCAATTCCTCATCTATGCTGATCACCCTACTCTGCTCTTGGCACTTCCATTCCCTCCCCCCTTGCTTCTCACAGACCTCCTTTTATTGATCATGTTCCCCACCTCCGCTGCTCCCCCATCTCGCTCTCCTTTCCAGAACATCTCTGAGTTAGTTCTTCACAATCAGCCTTGATACAATGAACTGCCAAACCTTTCTACATGAATATGCTTTGAAAACGCAGTGTGTCTTAAATTAAAAGCATCTCTGCCCCAAGCTGGCTCCTCCCCTCCACCCCCTGTGATTACCCCAAGGAACAGCATTCCATTCAACATGCCCAACTGCCTGAGCCAGAACCTGAAAAGTTATTCTCAGTGTCCCCTCCCCCCTCCCACCTTCACCTCCCACCCCACTCATGCTAATCGGTGCTTCTCAATTCTACCTGCTTTTACTCAAATCCATCCATTCCTCCCATCCTAGCCTACTGTCTTCATTCTGGCCTCTCTCCCCTCTCACTAGACAACTGAAATAACCTTTAACTTGGGCTCCCTGACCCTGACTTACCCTGAGAGTGGAAAGTTCAAATGTCATCGTGTCACCACTGCTTAAAGGCCCGCATTGGGCTCCTTACTCTCCCCCATGATAAAATTTAAACTCCTTCCTGTGGCTCCTCTGGCCTTTCTCGATTTGGTCTCAACTGACCTCCCCAGTCTCAGCTCTTTTCTTTGCACACGTCCTTCCCTCCACCTGGACACTCCCCTCTCCCAGTCCCCCTCACTTTTCACCTTTCTGGGCTCACGCCCACTCACCCTTCACGTCTCAACACAAACGGCATCTCCCCCAGAAGCGCTCCTAGCTCACAAGCCCGGGTAGGATGCTGGTCCTATTTATTCCCATTGCACCCAACACCAGGCCCTTGCAGCATTTATCACTGTGTTGTAAGTACCTGCGTGTTTATTCCCCTCACCTTGAGCTCCTCAAGGAGAAAGGTCCTAAGGCTGGGTCTTCACACTGAATCCCTGCACCTGTCACAGTGCCCCCACAGCCCACCGCTGATAATAAATAAAGGAATACAGGGCATGTTCTGTCTCTCCCACACATTAGCAGGAGAAAAAATTCCAGAAACGTGTTTGTGTCCATCATTTCGTTTATCCACCATGGCTTGTGGCAGTGTGTAAATAAAGGGGGGGGGACACACACACAAAATACAAAACTACGAAGTGACCCCTGATATAATTTAATGTGACTCTACCCTTCCCCATTGTATAGATGAGAAACCCAAATAACTAGAACCCTAACTGCAGTTGACATAAGAACATGTACCTCATTTTTACTTCTGAATAACTTTAATCAAAAGTGTGCTGAAGGTGCAAAAAAAAAAAAAAAAAAAAATCTCAAATCTGAAAGCTGTAAAGTCCTTCACAATAGCCTTCTCACCTGGCTCCTGCTGCATTCCCATTTTATGGTTAGAATAACTGAGGTCCAGGGGCGTTACTTGGCAGAGCCCACTTTATCAGTCTCCTGCTTCTATTGTGCTGCACCACCACTCTCAGTCCCACACTAAAAATGGAGTCAAACTAACCCCAGAGAACATTAAAGGGTCACGATTCACCTGGAACAGAAGCACAAGGACCAGTAACAACCGCATAAAAGGCGATTTACAAAGCACAGGTGTGCATGAGACCCAGTTTACTGTGGCTAAACCCCCAGGGTACTCCCAAACCTTACCGGTTTAGCTCAGTGGATAGAGTGTCGGCCTGCAGACTGAGGGGTCCCAGGTTCGATTCCAGTCAAGGGCATGTATCTTGGTTGCTGGCACATACCCATGGGGAGTGTACAGGAGGCAGCTGATCGATGTTTCTCTCTCATTGATGTTTCTGACTCTCTATCCCTCTCTCTTCCTTTCTGTAAAAAATCAGTAAAATATGTTAAAAAAAAAAATGTTTAAAAAAAAAAATACTCCCAAACAGCACTCACTCCTATGAAGACGCAGACAAAAGTGCGGCCACAAGGCAAAGGCTGACAAGGCAAAGGCTTCCTTGCTTCTAAGGCTTCTTCAACTCCATAAATTATGAGTTACACCTGAAAAATGAGCCAACACTCATCCCAGCCGCTTTGCATACTTAACCCTCCTAGAGATTTCCAAATGAAAGTTAACTCATAAAAGCTGGCTCTGGCAGAAGGCATTGGCTCAAACTCTGTTCAACCAGTTGCATTTCTTAGTGGGAGGTCATAGATAATGCCAATATACAAGATAAGGGTCGCTCTATTTAGAAGGCAGTTCAAGTAGCACTTGCAAGGGTTTATCAAGGCTGTAAGGTTAGAAGGTTGCACAACATGACCAGTAACCAGTTTTACCATAAGCCTCCTACCACTCTTTTAAAAAGGGTCCAGCCATTGCATTGACTCGGCCACTCTACCTATGCTTTTGTCATACCTGCTGCTACTGAACTAACCCGACCCCTTTTGTCACATAGCTTCTGCCAACTTGTGGCTTCTGCTGCTCTGTGTCTTTAAGACTTACATCTGCTCCTGTGTCCCTGTAATTCTGAAATCTCCCAAAAGGAGATTGGGTCATTAGCATGTGTAGGCCACCTCTGTGGGAATAGTTTAGGCCAAGTCATCTCCTGGATCAAGCTGATGGCATTGGCTGCCCATGAATGGACACTCATCGCAGTTTCAATCACTCGAGAGGCCAGTGCAGTCAAGTGGTACAAAAACCAGTGACCTGTGGTGAAACAGGTGGTTGTGGACATGAGATTTCCACAGATGACAGGACTGTGACAGGAAACTTTGAGATGTTAATTTCTTCTCCTTTACCTATATATATAAAAGGCTAATATGCAAAGTGTCCTCATCAGGAGTTCCACCCGGAGACTAGGAGTTCGATCACTAGCTATGATATGTGCTGATCACCAGGGGGCAGTACGGAACAAAGGAAAGCCCCAGCCAGCAGCCGAAAGGCCCAAATCACCCCTGATTACTGGTCAGGCCTAGGGACTCTACCTGTGCATGAATTTCGTGCACCAAGCCAGTGAGTAATAATAGGAGCTACACTTTATGCCAAGACCGGTTTCGCTCAGTGGATAGAGCGTTGGCCTGCAGACTGAAAGGTCCTGGGTTCGATTCCAGTCAAGGGCATGTACCTTGGTTGCGGGCACATCCCCAGTAGGGGGTGTGCAAGAGGCAGCTGGTCGATGTTTCTCTCTCATCGACGTTTCTAACTCTCTATCCCTATCAATTCCTCTCTGTGTAAAATCAATAAAATATATAAAGTAGTCTGGCAAAAAAAAAAAAATAGGAGCTACACTTTAATGTGGCAGGTCAGAGAGGTTGAGTGACTCATTGAAGTTTACACATTGTGAAACCAGCTGAGGCAGTTTCCACACCAGGATCACAGCAACATCTGTGCTCATAACCACTCTATAGCCCCCAAGAAGGGGAGACTGGGTGAGAGTGAGAGCATGAGAGTAAATGCCCACAGAGAAAAAGGGCTGCCAGATTCATGGGGCAATTCCTGTAGCCCAATGCCCTGCCCCTTCCATTATCCACTATACTCTTTTGAAGGGATCAAGAACTATTTGGTCATTTGATAGAAGACAACAACAAACAGGAATCCAGAAGGAGAAATTATGCAAACTGAGCAGCTCATCAGTGAAGTCGTGTAATAAAAATTGAAGCATGTGGTTATTGATGAAATCTATTAAATTCCTTCCTATCCTGGGATAGAAACTAGTTGGTACAGGTGATATATGACCACATCAGTTGGAATAAGGATTTAAAATCAGAAATGCAAAGCTGCAACTGAAATCTGAGGAAAATAAATTTTAAAATGCTACCAAGACAACCTTGTGGATCTAATTAATGCCATTGAATTGTACATTAAAAAATGGTTAAAATGGCAACTTTTGTGTTATAATTTACGACGATTTTTTTAAAATGGTACTAGGGGCAGCAAATGCTACATATGTGAATAAACTGAACACTGAACCAACTCATTAATCATTACATTTGCTATGTGTATATATTTCTAGAATATATCTTTACTCAAACAATGAGCAAGACAAAGAGCATTAAATCTGTGCATATATATCAGTTTGGAGTGTATCTTTTTCCAAAATGCAAACAAGAAAATGCACTTTTATGTATTTATTGTATTTTATTAATTTTTTACAGAGAGGAAGGGAGAGAGTTAGAAACATCGATGAGAGAGAAATATCAATCAGCTGCCTCCTGCACACCCCCTACTGGGGATGTGTCTGCAACCACAAGATACATGCTATTGATGGGCATCAAACCTGGGACCCTTGAGTCCACAGGCCTATGCTATATCCACTGAACCAAACTGATTAGGACAAGAAAATGCACTTTTAAAGTTTGCCTCCTGTCACCTGCTGGAAAATTGTAACATTGTAATCTACACTAATAAAAGAAAAAGATGCAAATTGACCATACCTCCACGATGCCCACCAACCAATCAGGAGTGTGTATGCACTCAAATATGGTGGGTTAATTTGCATACACAGGCACAAAGCAAAGACTGAAGACTGAAGGCTCTGCTGCAGCCAGAGTTAAGCCTGAAGGCTGTAGCTTGGCTCCATAGAAGGCTGAAGGCTTGGCTCCACTGCAGCCAGAGCCAAGCCTGAAGGCTGACAGCTTGGCTTTGCTATGGCCTGGGTTCCGGGTGCTGGAGGAAAACCAATGCTGGCAGCCAGGGAAAGGAAGGCCTATTGCACGAATCTTCGTGCATCAGGCCTCTGGTTTCATTATAAATATATTGAAAACTGTATTAAGATGCAACTATAAAAATGTTTAATAAAACTCAACATTGCTTTCATGTTAAATATTAACATATTTAATAGTAATTATTAAGGGCAATAAATGTTGCTTTCATAGCACTTGACTGGGCTAAGGTGGACACCTGCATTGTTTCTATGACGTCATTATTACCCAAGATATTTCTGAAACTCTCTTTTGGGAACGTCCTTTGTAACCAACTTCCTTTGTAACCAAGAAAGGTACATCTCTTTACAGTTGGGATCTAAACCCACATTACCTGTCTTGATCATCCGACTTGTTTACCAGCTTCACTTCAAATGATTCTTGGAAACTTCCAAGAGTCAAATTCAACCTAGAAAGAATGTGGTCCCTATGCATAATGGAGGTATTTGAGACAAGTAGGACAGGTTCTAAGAATAACAGATTAAGTTCCCAACTCTTTGGCGCAATGACAGTATTGTTGGATGTGTACACAAGCGGTCAATGACTTGGCAAAAGAATTTTTAATTTACAAGAACCACTTTGCAGGAGAATTGAACTGTCTCATTCCTTCAGAGCCACTTAACTGAAAATCTGTATCCACAGATATCAAGCAGATGCTGCACTTGGCTTAGTCTTCAGTAACAAGTGTTAATCGGGTCTCTGCCCTGCAAGAAGCTTCCTAGCTACTGAAAAGAATCCCAAAAACATGGGAAATAAAGGCTTTGTATTCCCTTCCACTTCAAATACCAACTTTTTAAAATTAAAATGTCTTTCCCCTCCAATGCCCACCTGGGCTTCACCTCACCTCTCTGCTTCTCCCCATCCTCACCCCCACCCCTCTCTAATGGCCTTTTCCCGTCCTCATTCACAGGGAGGAATGATCATCATGCTTTTGCTCAGTGTGGCCATCACAGTGCTCTCTGTCATCAACGTGGGCAAGAGCATCATGTTTGTCATGACACCCCACCTGTGGGCCACCTCCTCGCTGATGCCCTTCATCGGCTTCCTGCTGGGCTACATTCTCTCTGCTATCTTCCGCCTCAATGGACAGTAGGTATTATTTTTAGGTCTCACTGTTTTGTGGGCCTCATTCTTGTCCTGGTCTCTCAGGAAAAGGATGAGGAGATCTGAGGTCCGGGGAAGGCATTTTGCCAGCAATATGTTCAAATGCATCAACTGAACAAGGGACTTTGGACTGAAATATTGGGAAGATATTGAATGGGTTAGAAACATTAATCTCTCTAATCATCCAAAGAGCAAGTCATGGCTCCCTCCAGAGGCTAGGTTCCATCTCCTGCCCAACTTCCTGGTAGCTAATGGCACAGTGGTATCTCTGTCTTTATGACAAATGTTGATCATATTCTTCCTCTTCCACATTTCCTCCTTTTTTCCTTTTACAAGAATACCATCAAGTGACAGCTCTGCTAAATGGCACTCAGAGCTGACATAGCAGGGACCTCAGCTAGAGTCTAATCCAATTCACAAACAGCTGCTACTTTAAGGGAATAGGTAACTGAAAACCTGGAATGGGAACATCAGACACCCTCTCTATACAAGCAGTACATGTCCAGAACTTTTGCTCTTTTTAAGCATAGTAGGCAAATGCTTATGCAGTTTACATTAGCACCCTAGCCCTCCCGTCTCAAAAAACTTGTGTTCCTGGCAGGAGGTGGGCTTGGGGAGCTGGGTAAAAAAGGTAAGAGGATTAAGAAGTACAAATTGGTAGTTACAAAATAGTCCAGGGGATGTAAAGTATAGCATAAGAAATATAGTCAATAATATTGCAGTAACTATATATGTGGCCAGGTGGGTACTACTAGAATTATCAGGGGATCATTTTGTAAATTATATAATTGTCTAACCACTATACTGTACACCTGAAACTAATACAAAATAGTACCAACTGTAATTAAAAATAAAAATTTTAAATTAAAGAAAATAATCATCCATTTTTAAAAACATGCTAATAAAGGACAAATAGTACAGGATATAGCACATGGTGAGAGTAGAGTCAAAAGACTGCCAATGACCACTTGATGTCAACTTTCACGACAGACTGATACAGATCTTAACGGCCCTGGCATCGAGTACCGCCCAAGCAGTCTTCCTCCTATGCTGAGACAGCTCTCAGGGGTTTTAGTAAATAACAATTATTTTAATACACTCGTTACAATTCAACGAATTAAATATATTATACATTTATTAAATGTAAACATCCCTGTAATTCATAAAATGGGAAGCAAAACCAAGAGACCTTATTCCAATGACAGATAAATGTGGCTCAATCAAGTTTATTTTTTTTTTCATCATCACATTTTAGAGTTAAAAGTAGCAAAGCCAGAAACTTGGGAACAGGACAAGATCTTCGGGCATTTCAATCCTCTACTATATGTTGAAAATTGTAATTGTCCTGTAAGTCCAATATAACAAGCTAATGATTGGGACTGGCTCACACCTGCCTTTCCTCCCTCCCCAGCTGGACATTTCTCCAAATTGTAACTTAGCAACCTTACAAAAGTAGACGAATCAATCCATTTCCAAGACAATAAAAAATGATCTCATGAACCCACTTTCAAAAGGCTGGATTGGTGGTTTTAACACGTGTCAACTTCCCTTTTCCTGAAACCATGTGCACTCCACTCCCTGGCACACTTCCTGTCTCAAACTGTTCCAGTATCTGGGAGGAAGAAGATAGGGAAGTGAGGCTGTACACTCATGCCTCTTCCATGTGGGCATACGGGGTGGTTGTTTTGTAACCTACACAGATGCAGGCGCACTGTCAGCATGGAGACTGGATGCCAAAATGTTCAACTCTGCTCCACCATCCTCAATGTGACCTTCGCCCCGGAAGTCATCGGACCACTTTTCTTCTTTCCTCTCCTCTACATGATTTGCCAGCTTGGAGAAGGGCTTCTCCTCATTGCCATCTTTCGGTGCTATGAGAAAATCAAGCCTTCCAGCAGTGAGTACTGAATTATGCCCCTTGGAGGTCTCACATATTGGAGAAAAACAAGTTTCTGGAAAAGATCTGTTAGATGGGCTATAACTATCAAGTCACTAGAAACCAGTAGCAACAAGAAGTACGAAGGGCCTCAAAGAGCCAAGGCTACTCCTTCACTCACTGCCATTTAGGGTGGAGTCTGCCTCATGGGACTAGGTAATTTAGCTGCTTTAACTGAGGAAATCACGTATAGGGTTCAGGGTGAGAACATAGGACAGAACCATTTTGGCCAACAGACAACTGTGAGACATCAGTTCTGTGAAAGGCCCTATTCACAAGAGTTCAGGAAATTTGTACTGTAGGTTCTCCCGTCTTAGAAGTAGGTCAGAGTCCCAGCACCACTGGCACCCCTACAGGAGAGAAAGCATTCAAGCAATGCAGCCTAATTACACCGAATCCAAAACAGGATTCCAATTCTGGATACACAGAAAGGAAAACTTAAGTGAGCTTACTGAACAATCGGCTTTCACAATCTGGTCTGATTTGCTTTATCCCTTAATCTGATTACTACTGGATTAATCACTTCCTAGCCAATTTAGCACCTATTCCCTAAGAGGCTCAGATCATTTCATTCTCTTCCAAACATAATCAAAACTCAAGAAAGCTCAGAGTCCCTTCCTCAAAGTGGATTTAAACCCTTCATCTTTTTTTTTTTCCAAACCAGGAAACCGCCTTACTTGATAAAATTTCAGTATTTTATATTCTAAACATCAGTATATTCATAATCACTCAAATCCTCAATCTTATTTCCACGAATTGAGGGCCTCTTCAAAACCTTTTCTAGGCCCTGGGGACTGGTTTACACCCTAAAAGAAAGATGCAACTTCCCTGTAAAATTATCTTATAGCAGGCAAATTCAGATATACAATGAACTAAAATGCAATCATGGTTATCAAGCAGTCAAAAAGGAAGAGGATTTTACTTCAGAACCATTATATAAGTTTTAGTTCAAAACTACACTGAGTGACCAGGTTATTATGATCTCTGAACGCATAATAATCTGGCCACTCAGAATATATCCTATATAATGAAAGGCTAATATGCAAATTGTCCCTTCAACCAGGAGTTTCAACAGCAGGCAGGCCAGCCAACTGCTGGCTAGGCTGGCCGGACCCCACCCATGCACGAATTCATGCACCAGGCCTCTAACACACACACACACACACACACACACACACACACACACACACACACAGTGGCCAGATTATTATGTGTTCAGAGATCATAATAATCTGGCTACTCAGTGTATAGAACTGTAGAAAATCTAGTCTGATGCTTATCTAAGAGAAACTCAGACATCTGTTGCCCATTGAAATCTCTCCACCCTTACCAAAAAAATGCCGAGAGGGGGAAAGTTTCTATCGATACAACAACCCATCAGGTTCCTAGTCTTAATCCCAGAAAGTCCCGGAGTGCCCTCATGAGGCCATTCTCTAATTATGGGTATTTGGCTCTCAAGACCTTAACTCACTCACAATGAACATCACTCACAATGCACTTCAGAAGACCCTAGGACAAAACTATGTGAAAGCACCTTACTTTTGGACCAAATGGACCGTAAGGACCCAAGCAGCAGTACTCAGGATGAAGAATCTGCCAAGTGTTTATGGTTTTGATATCTGTACCCTTCTACAGAGATGTGAGAACCAGAAATGTAGACCCCCTCTTCACATCTCACCACAGCCATGCAGCCTGGAAAAATAGACCCAACAAAATGGGGGGAGGGGCAGGGGAACCCACCTTGGAAGACTTCCCTGAAGTTCTTTTCTCCCTGACCCCTGCTTGCTCCCAAATGCAGTCAACAACTTCGCTTACATTCAATTCCCCTATTGAATTGCATGTACAATGAAGTTGGACATGGAGTGCCAGAGTCAGTATTCTGCTAATTGGACCTTTTGTGACTAGTATTACCATTAGGATAGTTGAGAGAAAGCAAATCCTTTCAGAACTAAGACATGAGAGATGGTCAAGAGATAGAAAAAACAGCCCACCCTAGGGGTAAATTGGTTTTTTGTCTTCCAGATTGAACAAGCTTTATATTTACTATTTTCTCATTCTCCTCCCCTACCCATAACCCTTTTCAACTTGACAGATAAGATAAAAATAACCTACACAGCTGCCCCAACTGAAGAAACCTTTCCTGCGGCTCTGGGAAATGGCACCCATAAAGAGGAGCTCCCCCAGTGACCTGGATTCAGGGCAGAAGATAACTCAGAAGGAAATATGGCAAACTACAGAGAAAGCAGAAAGATGAAAGGAACACACCAGCAGTGACTGAGTCTTTCTCCAACATTTCCAGCAGAAACTATCAGCCTGGAGGACAGATGGGGGGTGGGGGGGTTGGGAGGTGTCTAATTCTAAAAGCCTCACCTATCTCCAGCCTAGAATTTGATACGGTACTTGTTTTTAAAAGATGACTTGCTCAATGACAATCCTTTGAAGGGAATTCAAACTGCCTTTTACCTCTGCATCCCTAAAACAGTGCCTGACATATATTTATATGGCACTCTTTCTCATTCTGGCCAGGTGGCTTAGAAGGTTGGAACATAATCCCTTACACCAAAATGTTGCCGGTTGGGGTGCCTCTGGGAGGCAGCCAATCAATGTATCTCTCCCCCTCTCTCTAAAATATCAATAAACATATCCTTGGGTGGGGATTTTTTTTTTTTTAACTTGACTTGTGAACTAGTCAAAAAATATTTCCTCAAAATCTAATACCCAAATCCAGTTCCAAGGGGATTTTGTTTTTTAATATTTTTATTGATTTCAGAGAGGAAGGGAGATAGAAATATCAATAAGAATCATCCATCAGCTGCCTCTTGCAAGCCCCCTACTAGGGATGAAGCCCACAACCCAAGCTTGTGCCCTAAGTGGGAATGGAAACGACCTCCTGGTTCATAGGCCAATGCTCAACCACTGAACCACACTGGCTGGGGCCATTCCAAGTTTTATTACTAAAAAATAATGCTCAAAGAGCTGCAGGATTAGTAGACTTCAAAAATCCTTTGTAATAACATTAAAAACCCAGATCCTATTCCTTCCGTCACTACTGGGATTAAAGCTCCCGAGAACCCACCTAAGACAAGAAGTATGCAAAAGCAGCCGGGACCGGTTTAGCTCAACGGATAGAGCGTCTGCTTGGGGACTAAAGGGTCCCGGGTTCAAATACGGTCAAGGGCATGTACCTTGGTTGCGGGCATATCCCCAGTGGGGGGGGTGCAAGAGGCAGCTGATCGATGATTCTCTCTCATCGATGTTTCTAACTCTCTATCTCTCTCCCTTCCTCTCTGTATAAAATCAATAAAATATATTTTTTTTTTAAAAAGAAGTATGCAAAAGCAACTAGACAAGACAAACTCAAAAACACAGCCATAATGAAAGAATATAACCCAGTGGAGAGGAAAACTGTAACCCCAGTGGAGGAGAGGGGGCAACTTTAACAAGAAAAAGCCAGGCAACAATATAAAAATCAAAAGAATTGTTTCACTAATGTAATAATTTTATATCCCATCAGTTCATTAGTGGTTTTCACATTAAGATCCCTCAAAATTCAGAGTTAAGATGCTAAAATGAGTGGTTTCTCAATTTGAAGAAAATACTCAAATTGGCCCTCGCTGGTTTGGCTCAGTGGTAGAGTGTCGGCCTGTGGACTGAAGGGTCCCAGGTTCGATTCTGGTCAAGGATCAAGGGTGCATGCCTGGGTGCAGGCTCCATCCCCAGTGTGGGGTGTGCAGAAGTCAGCCAATCAATGATTCTCTCTCAACATTGATGTTTCTATCTCTCTCCCCATCTCCTTTCTTCTCCAAATTGAATTTTAAAAAATTTTTAAGAAAATACTCAAATTGATATTCTTAAAGTTAAAAGTTTCTCCAGTAAAATTTAAAAATTTTGCATAGTGTTCATTAAGCAGTGGGTCAAATATTAAATAACAACTAATATTAACACTTCCAAGCAGCCTACCATGCCCAGCTACTTGTGATTTTCTCATCATTTAATGATTAGATACAACTGAAACTGACAAATTAATTTCAGGACAACAGTTTGGCAAACATCCAAGACTACCAATATTTCCAGTACCAGAGCAAATTTAAGCACTGATTTGAGCCACTAATACCCTTAATATTAAAAGTGAAGATTTGTGAAAAGGTCTACCATTTATCTTTTACACATATGATATCCATATTGACCTTTCTATGCCAAATGTTTTCTCTAACATCTAGCAGACATTATCTGATAGGGAACTTGGTTAAGTACAACAAAGCAATATAAGAACAAGTTTAACTTTTTGAGGAAGGAAAGACTGGACTTAATATTTATTGCCCTCGGTGCAAAAAGGTGGAGGGGAAGATAGTCAATAATATTGATACATCTGCATAATGACAGATGATTGCTGGACTTACTATTATCACCATTGTAAGATGTCAAATCACTACATTATACACCTGAAACTAATGCTATACTAGAGACCTAGTGCACTAAAATTCATGCACTCGGGGGAGGAAGGGTATCCCTCAGCCCAGCCTACGACCTCACAGTCCAGGAACCCTTGGGGGATGTCTACCTGCTGGCTTAGGCAGGGAGCAGGCCTAAGTCACAGTCAGACATCCTTAGCACTGCCAAGGAGGCAGAAGTTCCTGCCACCACTGATGCACTGACCCAGCTTGTGGCTGAGCAGAGCTCCCCTGTGGGAGTGCACTGACCACCAGCAGGCAGCTCCTGCATTGAGCATCTGCCCCTAGTGGTCAATGCACATCATAGCTATTAGTTGTTCTAAGACCAATTTGCATATTACCCTTTTATTATATAGGATACCAACTATGTTAAAAAAAAAAATGTAGCAGGCAAAATAGATGCTACTCTCAAACTTACCTTTCAGCTTGCTAGATGGTTGCACAAAAGCCGCACTATCCCCTGCAGACTGGTCTTAAAACTGTTTGCGCTCATGCCCACTCCACTCATGACTTCTCAGAACCTGGACCTGAAAATTTAGGCTAACCTAAATCCATCTCCTCTCCCTGTACGTAAAGGGTCTTATTTTATTGCCTCGCTGTGTAACAAATTATTTGTAATATTAAAACAGTAAGGCACTTATTTTACAGGGGTGGAAAAATCAGAAAGTCAACTGATAAAATGTCCAAGTACCTAACACCATACATATCACCAAGGCACATTTTAAAAACCCAAAGGGGAAAAAACTAGGTTCTACCATTTTATTTTTCTTAATCCTCACCCAAAGATTTTTTTTTTTTTGATTTGAGGAAAACATCAACAGATTGCTTCCTGAACAACCCCAGACCAGGGATTGAACTCGCAACCTTGGTATTTACCCTCAAAGGTAATCAAACATTTAACTTTTTGGTGCACCAGACAGTTCAACCAGTGGAGCCACCCAGCCAGGGCAGGTTCTGGCAATTTTATTTTTTTAATGCTTTTATTGATTTCAGAGAGGGAGATAGAAACATCAATAAGAATCACTGATCAGCACACACCCTCACTGGGATCGAGCCCGACTGAAACCAGCACGTGCCCTGACCAGATATGTAACTGTGAGCTCCTGGTTCATAGGTCAATACTCAACCACTAAGCCAGGCCAACTAGGCAGTTCTGCCCTTTTAAATAAAACCAGTGTCCTCCATCCAAATTAACACATTGCAGACAAGTAGTTTTATTGCTAGCTTTTCCCAGTGGCCAAGTTTCTGTACAAAAGACAGCTTATATAAATGTTAAAGGCATGCTTTAAAATTAAATACCCATTGTATTTTGAAGTTATTACATGTCCTTACAAACTATTATCTTTTTAAAGAATTTTCTAATTGGCCACAAGCCTTAGAACAGAAAGCACGGGAATTCTCATGATCCATCCGCAACATATTAAGGTATCACATAAACGCTCCCTAAAATCAGTTTCACAACTTTATGGCCCAAGTTCTGGCCATGCAGAGGGAAGTGGGCATGCCAGTCATCCAAAAAGTTTTCAAATCCAAAACCCAACTAGAAACTCCCCTGGCGAATCCCACACTTTGTGGAGAAAAAAAGCAATCTCTGGTAATTTCCTCAAAACCCCTGCAGGGTTATGCAAGGGTCTGCACTGGTGTTTTAAGATTCTGAAACTAGGCTTTATGGGCTCTAATACCAGTTTACCATTTATTTGCTCTTCTCTTTGGCATAATTTCCTCTAGTAAAACTATTATCTAGTAAGTAGTTTTGAAGATTCGGTTACCAATTTTTTATCTATAGAATACTAGCACTCAAATAGAGGACTAAAGCCTAGTTTCTGAGATTCTTATACCTTTAAATCATTACCTGCAGGCAGCAGGATCTACCACTTAAGATGGATAGAGAACCTTAAGCAGCTTCCACTACTGTTTTCCCCTTCACATATATTATCACATTCATGTCTCAGGACTAAAAGAAAAAGCATATAGCCGAAACTGGTTTGGCTCAGTGGATAGAGCGTCGGCCTGCAGATTGAAAGGTCCCAGGTTCGATTCCAGTCAAGGGCATGTACCTTGGTTTTGGGCACATCCCCAGTAGGGGGTGTGCAAGAGGCAGCTGATCGATGATTCTCTCATTGATGTTTCTCTCTGTCCCTCTCTCTTTCTCTCTGTAAAAAATAATAAATAAAAAATAAAAAAAGATAGACCCCTTTAAAGACATGTGCATGGATCTAAAAAATACCACACATCCCCCCAAAAAAACTTATGTCCACCAAACTGTAATAAAACCTTTAAGAAAGGCATAAAACAGTAACTGTACCATTTGCTTCCTAAATTGTCCTCTTGACTATGGAAGCCCCAAGTAACCTGACGCCAACAGAATAGTCAGGTGATACAGGGAAAGAGCGTGAGAAGGTCACATACAAAGGAAATTCATACTGTTAGTCATCTCACTGCTTTAAACATTTCACTAACTTTTGCCTATTTTCTGGCTAGCTTAAAATATTAAAAGTACCAAATGACTTCAGGTTCTCTGCAAGAAATTATGTGAATGTAGATGGGGAGGAGTAAATAGCACACATCCTTCAGACAAAAGCAGTTTTATAATCTTTTATTATCAATAACAAACAGCTGCTTGTCTTTGCCAGGCAGCTGTTAAAGAGTGGGTGAGAGGACACCCTTGACCCTAACAAGGAAAACTCAAATTAAGCCTTTATGTACAAGCAAACTTAGAGCTCTTTTAAGTGTCCA